GATTCCGGAGTTAACAATATAAGTTTCATGCCCGTTACGACACGACACACTTTTTCTAAATGAGCAAAATTGAGTGAACGACTTTACTAAATATAGCTATGAATTTTGGGAAAAAACAATAAGAAGAGAAATAGGAAATGACAGTATTCTAAAATGGTGTTTGTGTTCAATCAGAAAGCCTAGACTCAGTTTACAGAATTAACCAGTAAGTTTGGGTTGGTGCCAAAGTTGTTCGTCGTTTTCTGCTATTTGCGAAATTCCTATTTTTGGGAAAAAGATCGACGACCATGGCGAAAATATGATGCGCTTTCTCTTTTTTTTACGGCCACGTTTTAGATGTCATCCATCCGCTATATGCTGAAATAATCAAAGAAGCTCTCAAGTTATCTTAACCTGTTTAACCTACTCTACCTTTTTTTTGCTCCAGCTGATTTTTGGAATTTTCATTTGAGACTACTAAGAAAGCTTTGAGGAATAGGTTGGCCAACCTTCTGCAAACTATAGCATTCTAAGGATCCTTAACGTCTATTTTAGATTACGGAGTATATTATTTTAGGAAGCGATTTCCAATTTCGTCTAATCAAAATTAGTAAATCATCATCTAACCGTTTGAGGAATGCAAGTTCTTGGCTGGAATCTAATGTACGACTTTATCAAAAATACCTCAGCTGATGTTGCTCACATTAGCTATTTGTTCAAAAAACAGAATAATTTACACTCACCTCATCATTTCCACTACAGTTGAGGACGTTCAGCACGGGAATCTTCGTTGTTCGAGTGCCGGTGCGAAAAACGGCACTTAAGCTGCATTTCCTGGGGCCAAAACGGCTCATAAATTTTCAAAACGGGCAATCGAAACAGAGCAAAGCTATTAGTTACGTGAACGGTTAGAACAGCTTCACTACAAGGTTTCAAGGGAAGTATAGCTCATTATATTGTGCTGCAAATTTTTGATGATTTACGTTGTTTTTTCAGCACTGTCCTTCTTATGACAGCAATACGTTGCCTCCTAAAACTGTGAGAGTAGAGTAGAACCTTTTACTGGTATTTCACATGGACACCGATAACGAAGTTTGACAAGAATATTCAGAAAACATTTGCGTGATTTTCTGAGCAATAAGGGAATACTTGATAACCGTGGTCATTCATGATTAAGTGTATATTGATGAATACGCCTTTATATTTTAGCTCGAAAACTGTCGTACTACGAAACAATAAGCTGGGTGGAGTTATAAACATTTTTTAAGAATAAATTCCTATACTGCGGAGGGTCAAAACCATCGATACAATGTTTTCTTGCCTCTTTAACTGCTGAATATGATAATCAGTCTAAAATACTACTACTATTCTAAGGTTTTCCTAAGCAGCATCATGCCGTGAAGTCATAACTCCCCTCAGAAGAGGTTTCACAGATAGTGAGGACTTAAAAACAACTGTTCGAGACTTTTTATAATACACTTCGCATTCTAAATAGCCACGGCCACTAAGTTTCCTTTCCTTGGAAGATGTCAATGATCAGCTGCTAAGCTATATCTTTTCGCAAAGAAATTGTTCTTTATTCGTTAAAAAGGCGACTTTATAAGTGATAATACACCAGCCAAATGTTGGGAAGGTAAATTCAGATCTCGCTATCTGTAGAACCGTCGAAAATTATAAGCTTTTTTCTCACTACCACATGGCATCTCCACGTTCCTCCATCTGAGCAAAACCTGCATCTATTCCAAGTTCTCGTAGGTCGGCCTTGACTCAGTCCGTCCACCTCATCTTGGGTCTACCCCTCGGCCTTTCACTTAGGGCCTCCACTGTAAAGGATAACATTATGGTACGGTTTTCTTACCTTCTGCATGTCCATGCCACCGTAACCTCTTCAACTGCATTTTCTTGGCGGGGAGGTACCTTTACTTTGGCTCGTATACGTCACTGCAGACGTGTTCTTTCAATGTGGCTCTGTCCATCGTAACATTTGTCTTCATGACAATGAGTTTGCGCTGCTCGTTTCGCGTACATGGTTAGCACTCACTCGCACGGTGCTTCTCTACATATAGAGGTCGGATACAGACAGGACTTGAGTTAACGACTACAATGTAGCGACCAAGGCTAAAGTGTAGCAATCAAATGACTACGCTGTAGCGACCAAATGACTACACCGTAGCTCTAGTAGAGGCTATAATAGAGCGATCAAATGACTACGTTGTAACGGTCAAATGGCTACAGTGTAGCGGCCAAGGCTAAGTATAGCGATCAAATGGCTACAGTGTAGCAAACAACGGCTACACTGTAGCGACCAAGGCTACAGATAGCGATCAAGACTACAGTGTTACTACCTATGAATACGGTGTAGTGAATTATATTAATTGTACCATCAAGACTTTTTAAAAAGGTTATGTATATCGCGTTAAGCTACAATGTAGCGACTAAATGGATACAGTGTAGCGACTGAAAGGCTGAATTGTATCGATCAAACGGTGCAGTGTAGCGGCCAAAAGGCGTAAGCATAACCAACAAAGAAAACAGGTGCGAAAGGAGTAGGGAGTGAAAGGCTATTTGCGTTCAAATGACGACAAGGTTGCGACCGAAATTCCTGAAGTTTTACACAACCAAAGGACAGTAGTCATACCTTCGAGATAGAGCCTGTTATACTCTGTTCTTCCAATTTGAAAAAAGAGCAATTTTTACTTGGAAGATACAGGAAGCATTCAGGACAACTATGGATTCAAATCCCACAGTCTTCAGTAATGAACAGAGCACATTGAGTGAGTAGTTGATGGATTCTGCAGTAGCTAATTATGCGATTTTTTGTTCTGGAAGTTGAGAGACATCCCTCAAAGCTCCAATGGTTTTTCTTTGACATTTCTTCCCTGTATTACGCCTAGTTTTCAGTTTCCCGAAAGGCTGCTTGAGTTGAATGCGGAACAGCAACTTCGCCTGAACCTTGAGCAAACTGTTGCAGTTATAAAGCGGTTTTTGTCTTCGCAAGATTGTCATATCCCCTAGTAGTCGCATGCCATAAGATTGTATGTAATGCTGCAGGATCTCAAGCAACGTAGAGATCTCGGGCTAAAGTCCGCCGTCGTCTCTGTTCGTCTCTGTCGTGCTTTTTCCGCTCGTCTCTTTTCGTTGTTGCAATTCGATTTTGGCACCCGTTGTGGCGGCTCGCGATCGTCCCCTCCTCACAACATGCGACCAAGAGCACCGTTGCCGCGCAGTTCGGTCGTGAGTACTCGCGTCGCTTTACGTCGGCTACCCTGTTCCCTTCGAGACCACACGCAGGCACCCAACCTCGGCTATAAGTGGCACACACGCGCGCCTTTGCAAGCCTCTTCTTGATCTTAACTTTGCTCGTGATATTGATCGGTTGCTTTTATGACATCGCATAGTGGCATAGCAAATAAATAAATAAATAAATAAGTAAATAAACTCCAAAGAACACTTCCAAATTTTTATTGAATTTGAGGTTTTATTTATTCATTTATTTATTTATTTGAATAAATAAATAGATAAATAAGATAAGTAAATATAAAATTTGAATAAATAAATAAATAAATAGTGCCTGCTTCCCGGCGCCTTGGCGAGTGTATGGTTTGACGATGAAATGGTAGATGCGTGCAAGAATAACTTCACGAGACGCGCAGGACATGCAGTGGAGATGAGTTTGAAGTTGCTGGTTAACATTTGCGGGTCGGTGTCAGCCGCGCCGTCGGTCATCGCTTGCCTTGGTGGCAGGCGCATGACCTGTGGGTCAGCTCCCTTGGAAGGCGGGAGTGCGTAAGAGTGTGTCAAAGGTAAAGAGTGTAAGAGAGTTAGAGTCTCACTGGAATTAAGCTTAACTCTCCCCGTGCTATGTTCTTTTTAATTTGTCTTTTACATTGCGTTTTTCTGCTTAGTATTGCATATATATTTACTGTTTTTTCAAGACAATGTCGCAAGTTCATTCTCTCGACTTGGCAGTGTGCTTTTCTGAGCTTTAAAAATGCGTTCTTTATAGTGATTTCTTGGAAGATACTCGCAGAAACTCGCTTGCTCAGAACAAGTATATTAAGACAGACAAAGCAAAACATTCAAAAAGAATGACAAAACGAAAAACATGAATGATGCATAGAAGAATAGGTTGGCTTTGATGCGATTTGCTTTAGAACAAGGAAATTCCCGTTTTGAGAAGTCATTTCTTTCTGTTGGTTTCTTCGATCGCCTTCATCAGACTGTGATTGCTCCCAAGACAATCCTTGAGGAACAATCCGCCCGGATCTTCCTTCGAACTGAGCACACCGTCCCAAGCGATTGTGTGATTTAGTGTCAAAAGAAAAATTTCAAACTTACCGCAATGTTTTTTCTTTAGTTTTCAGCAACTCTTCAAATTCAATTTTTTTGCTTATCTAACTTCCAATTCTTTTCACTCTATTTTCGATTAAACAACTTCTTTTCTGTAGGAACAATGTCGAACAACCATCGGTAGGCGCTCTCACCAGACTGCTGAAGGTACGACTTAAGTGTTTATATGTCGTCTCTGAAGCTTGCTTTCCTGAGCATTGAACCTGTTTTTGGCTCACGGCGGTGAAAAAAGAAAAAAAGATTAACATAACGTAATTTAAACATTGACGCAAGCTTGTCGAACACATTTTTTTTGCTCGGTCCGTTTATGATTGATATTCTCTAGTATAAGAAACGTGGGCTGTAACAAGTTGCTGTTTTCAATGATGTCACAAATATGGTCGATTGCCTACACCCATCCAGACTAAAATGCGGAAGCAACACATACAAATCACTCTCACAACAACACGTGTGAGAGACGTGGACCTTTAGCGAGAGAGTTAGGAAAGCAATAAGGAACATGAACCACTTGTCCAAGTACTCCTCTAGCCTAGGCCCAGCTAGGGCTTCTGCAACCGTCGCGGGAGAAAGGAACGTTGCAAATGAAATGGGTTGTGTTCATAAATGATTATCTTAGCAGTGTGACAAACAATTTTCCTAGTTGTAAGCTTGCAGAGGATCACTTCGTTTCTATGGTTCCAACGTGCAGTGCTCTCCTGCGGCTGGTCTACGACATCCGGATACTTCTTTGTTTTGTCGTACCTTGCCTGTTACTATGTACCGTTATACTGGCTATCTGCGTGAAGCCAAGGATGAAAGGTGGCTTTACACATCTTCTTCAGCTTCGTTGCTTTTAATTCGTATGGTACAGTCAAAATCCTAAGTCTTCTTTCAAGCTCAACATTACTACAGATGACTGCCAAGAAATGCCCCGAAATGAACGCATCCAAGCAAGCTGTAAGCCAATTTCTATCAAACAAAGTGCACCTTGTCCACAGCAGAACTCTGGAGGAAAGGATGATGAAAAAGTCAGCGCAAAAGAACCTGAAAAAACACATGAAGTAGGTTGCGCCTTTGCATTAACCACAACAGCCACGTTCACGAAGAATCAAGTGAGCAGTGGCAAATTTGCTTGTCTTTAGGAGAAAAAAGTGAAAAACAAAGAAGGAGCACCCGTCAAAAAAACATCAGCAGTAGCTGAAGCCAAGAAAGTAGACCAAAACCAGACTCGCAAAATAGTTAGTTTTTGACTACTTAAGGAAAACCTTCACCCATTACAAAACTACTGAGTCAATCAAATTGCGCATTATAATAGTTAGTAATCAAAAAACACTTCAAGTATTGGCTTTGGATTAGGTTGCGGAGTGTTTTTAAAAATTCATGTCTTGAATAATTTTAGGTCAAAATCAAAAATCTAATGAGGAACTTTCGTGAGCTAAGTTACTCGATGTATTGTTTGGATGTTTCAGATTCCACCACCACTGGATGAACGACCAAAAAATCCTGGGTGCTATAAGGAAGTGGAAGCGACATCTAACTTACAGGTAGATCGCTCATCTTTTTTAACAAGTGATTTTTTTCATCCATATTCTTGAAATATAGCGGGCAAGCATTCAGGATCCCAATAGATTTTCCTATTTCAAACTATAGAAGCGGCCTTAATGGCCTTGTAGCTCTTGGCAGCCGCCGTCAACTGCTGTTAGCCGAATTAGTCAAACTATTGATATCAATACAGCCGCTATAATTGTAGCCAAACTTGCCTATTCCTGCCTCTACCAAAACTAATTTTCACAACCAATCTCAGCTCAGTATAGATGCGATCCTGCATGCTAAAGACTAGTTTTGTTTTCTTAAAGGCAGCGTCCAGGCAGATCTGGACCTATGGGGTTTTTATGTGCAAAGTACTTTTGGGGCCCTAACTAAGGCACTGCCCAAACGGCAGTTCAGGTGGTGCTTTAATGGCTGAGGTATTCCCCTCGAAACTGGCCCCCGCGAACGTATTCGCATGGATTCATGGCAGTTTCGCGCCAGGATCCACGCTTTGCGCCATGAATCCATGCGAAACACGGTCGCGGGGTCCAGTTTCGAGGGGAATATCTCAGCCATTACAGCAGTACCTGAGCTGCCGCTTGGGCAGTGCCTTAGTTAGGGCCCCAAAAGTACTTTCCACGTAAAAGCCCCATAGGTCCAGATCTGCCTGGACGCTGCCTTTAATTAAAACAGAGGCTTTACTATGAATGTTTACATTTCTTCAGTCATAACGTATAAGAACCAGCTACTTCTCTATGTAATGATTATTTTAGTCTTGGAGCATTATAAAAGAAGAAAAGGTTTCGTTTGATTGAAGAAACAATCAGAAGAAACAGACGAATTCGACAATCACTGCAAACAATACTTGCATGAATAAACGTTAAGATTATTCTGCTAGACGCAGAAGGAAACAAGCTTATATATTCTGGGCAAGAGCGATTGCTACACTGACCGGCGGACCGCAGATCAAAAGATCTGATAGGCAACACATAGATCTATATATAAAGCTCAGAGCTTGTGAGTAAGTATGTTTGTGTGAAATGTGTGTCGAATAGAAATCTTTGTAAGTGAACGAAGAAGCGAAAATTTTGCACACATATGTTTTCAGCCCCTGCGCACATGATAGGCCACTTTTTGCGGCAATTCGCTCAGTCCTTTTATCGATTTATTGATTTTGAGCTAGGACAGGGGGCGCTGAAGGTATACACTTACTTGGAGTCAATTTACACTCACTCTGTATAAGTGCACACTTTAATAAACGCTGGCCCTGTGCAGCTACGAAATTACGACAGTGGCCCAAGTGGGGCCAGGGTAGCCAGCTAGTGTTTAAAATAAAACCTGCAAAATGCTTCTTTGTACTGTGAAAAGATGATCTTGTTCCTAGTTATTGCGCTTCGCGTACATTATCCGCGCTACCAGTGCTACCAGTTATACACGCTTTAGTAGTTTTACTGCGTCACTAGTGTTGCCATTGCTCCTAACCATGCCAGATTCGCGCTATCCTTAGTGACCGTGCGGGCTTCACTGGAAGTGCCCCCAACCTGTCCCGACACTGCCTTGAAGTTTCGAGTCACTAGGGTGCAGATTTGTAATAGTTCTTTGAGAGCCATTGTGCTTCGCACGTCTATAGCATCTCGGTTCTCCATAGATCCGTTTGCTGTTCGCTCGTTCGAACAGTTTAGAAGATCTAGCAGGAACGGGGCAAATACACAGATAAAACCTCAAAAATGTTCTTACCGCAAATAACACATCAGCCCAGCTTCGCCAAGGAGATATTCCCATTTATATGAAGAAAAAGAGACGGTCTTTTTGCACGGGCGATCTCCAACGCTGCCCTGATTTTGACTTGTCTGAGCACGTCACGCAACCGCAAATTTTTCCTCCACTTGCTTTGCTTAGGCAAAAGCCGCCGCAGGGTGTGGCGCGCAACGTTGGTCCTGTGTGGAAAGCATTACGGTCGTGCGAACCTCCTTCTACCCTGAAGAAAGCTATCGTCATCGCCTAAATACAGCCTATTATAAAAGGAGCTAAACTCATAAAAGTCTAATGAAATATCCTCGTAAAAGTCTAATGAAATATTTACTATCGTACTAATAACATATCGTGCACAACACCTCTCTTCCAAAACTTTGGTGATTGTCCGTACCGTAAAGCGGCACGATGTAGATTTGAAGTACACGAATGTCTCGAATATGCTTTATTGCTCACACAAGGTAAAAGAGATTACAAGAACCAAAAAACATAAGTTGCCTGAGAAGATTACCTTCGTACTTCTCGTCGAATAGGCCTTACCGCCTCTCCTTTGAACTCCCGGCTCTCCCTTCAAGAGCCCTGCGGCTCTCTCAAAACATAATTCACAGATAAGTCGTAATGTTTATAAACTGTGATGAGGCACGGCAGTACCGTGTTCTCGTTTATTGGAATCATGATCGCGAGAGTCATGACAGTGATAGACTGCTTTCACGGATTTAAACAGAGGCCTTTTTGTTAGGGTATTACCCAAGTCTCTCACGACGTTCAGAGCTGGTGTTTACAAGGCCTTCAAAAAATGGTGCTCTTGGGATTTTCATGCGGAAATGCGCCCTCTAGGGACCGACTTGTGATTGGCAAAATTCCCAGGCCTTAATTCTCGCACTATTTTCAAGTAGAAATGGTCTGGCAACGAGTGTAGTAGATTACTGTAACAAGGTGCCGGCCCGACCACCACCTGTTCAGCCACTTTTATCTTCGTTCTAGTAAACGCTACTTTCTTTCGGAGAATCTTTTTGCAGATAACAAACATTGTTTCATGCTCTCAGTGCGAGCAGTCTGATTATATGGTATATTATGAAAGGTCAGGGTCACTAGATATCTCCCTCTTGTAAGAAAATTTACATCATTACCGTGTTCGGTGTCGGAATGCGTTATGGCGACTGCGACTCGTTGCAAATTGTGGTTACGCTCATAAAATCTTAAATTGTACTGCAGGAGGGCGGACTACACATTTCTGGGTCAAAAAGCAAAGAGATTATAGTAAAATATGCTACGCAGGCATATAACGACCACTCAGATGAACACACTTCAGATCACTGCACGTTTGACGTGCTTTATCATGTTCTTTCACAAAGCGCGCGCAATATGATTGCAAAGCTAAAATACACAGACGGCTTGCTTACGAATAGAGACACTATATGGCACCAAGTTTTGATGGTATATATAGGATATTACTGACATAAGTATTTTGTGAAAAAGTTTCAAAAACTCATGTAAAGTAGCACTTATTTCTGCATTAGCCCTCCTCTAGGAGGCCATCAGGAGGACTGGGTCCGTCTGGAGCATATATTTCAGTGAGTTCACATAAGTTTTGATTTTTTAACATGGACTACTTCACCTGTCAATAATATTTATTCGAGCAACAAGCCAGATTCGTTGTCTCTCCTCTGTTTTTTTCCCTCCGCTTTGGTCATAAAATCAGTTAGTTAGGTGGGTTTCCATCATTAGTCTGAAAAACACTTTGTAACATTCTAGCGGAATCAAAGAAAACTTTGTTTTAGAACCCCTATAAACCGACTCTCGCCGGGCCCTGGCGAGATGACCATGAAAAGCATTCGCAGAGACTGTCAGCTTTGTTCATTGATGATGTTTGTACTATCTTTAGTATGAATTAGGCGAAAGAGCAATTTATTAATGCTTGACAAGCTTTGAACATCGAAAATATTTAGTGAAATATCGTTAAAGCAAAGATCGTAATTACTTTGGTTTGATAGAGATGGGAATGACTTTCGGCTGTTGCTCCGGGTGACGATCATATCTCACCGTCAGGATCCCTTCTTTGCTCAATTCACTTTTCACTTCTTCACCCTTCACAGACGGCGGCAGGTCATATTTTCGAACGAAGTGTCGTTCCACCTGAAATCATTCTATTGGTTATTCGGAAACTTCACCAAAAATTTCAAGAGTTAGAGTGTACGGTAGACATCCTAAGGCTGCCAACAGAGACTATTTCAAGAACTTGCTAGAAAAGTGACGGTATGTCATTTTGATACACCTCTTTAAAAAGGGCTGTAAGGGGTTTACATTAATTACTTATTTGTCATTTGGCTTAGCCGCTTTTTTATGTTCGTTCAAAAAGGATGAAAGGACTCATGAAATCTAGACAAAATTTGGTAGACGTGATGCACGGGATGGGGCGTGTGTTAGAAACCATTTTTTTTCGGGACAGACGTACTGCCCCTATCGCTCTATCAAGTTTTTTTTTTACATTTTTTGCTCAGAAAATTTCCTACCTTCGTTCAAAAAAGATAGAGTCATGGAATCTGAAGCAAATTTGGCAGACATGATGCCTGGGGTGGAACGTGTGTTAATAAGCCATTTTTTGGGACACCTGGCTTGCTCCTATCGATTTATTGATTCTTTTGCAACTGCTTAGAAAATTTCCTATTTTTGCCCAAGACGTAAAGTCAAAATGCAAGTGACCTACCATTCGAAAAAGCTCTCCATGCTCTTCCAAATGATCTATTGAATGTGAATCTTTCTACGAGATGAAAAAGCAAGAAGAAAAGTTGCTATTTTTGCGCAATAAAAACAAAAAATTATATTTCAATCTATATTTTCCGGAGATAAATGAACGTTGGGGTAAACTGTATACATATGGATAGAGCGCAAAGAGTAGCAGATGGTAACCAAAAACGTGCGTACACTTGCAAGGCAATAAATAGCACGTAACTTCGTGCTTGAAAGTGTCAGAACCAATCTCCTGACTTTAATCGTTGAGGCCAGCAAGCCATCGTGAGTTTGGTGACTGTACCTTCACCCACTGCAGCAGTGGCGCTTTGGATGGTCTCACACGTTTCACGGCGCAGATACTGCTCGAAGTTTATAATTTGTCGAAGTGATTGACTTTGCATTCTAGCAAGTATAAAAATTATTAAATTATCATTAAGTTATTATTATATCTTTTGCTCCGCTAAGATTCTGTAGGCTACCTCTCTTTCCAAATTTTTGATTCCTTGGGAACTACTGATGAGGGCCCAAGGAAGCTGGCTACCGGTATAGTTCTTACAAGGGAATGGTCAGAAATCGAAGTGGCCATTCCAGACAAGCTGCTTATCGTTAGATGCAGCATGAAACGCTGACTCTAAATCTGTCTTCTTTATCTGCTTATCGCTTTTCTGGACGAAGTTATAAGCCATTAAAGACCATTATTTTCCTCAGAAATTATGCGTTAAATTGAAAATTCAGCCGTACAGAGCCTCGTTCGCCTCAAAGCTGGGCCAAAGCATGCATCTAGCTTACTTGAAATTATTGAAGCCAGAAGCCGAGCTAAATGTGCAACAATTTGCTCAATTTCGCTGTTTTTATATATGATTTTTTCACAATAAAACCACCTGTAACTTTATCCACAGAAGCGGGAAGCAGATAAGGAAGACAGATTCGAAGTCAGCGTTTTATACTGCATCGAATGATATACAGCTTCTTTGGTTTGGCCACTTCGACTTCTGACCATTCCCTTGTTAGCCCCAAAACCGGATAGTGTAAAAACAGACGCGATAATTGTCATAAAATCTTGCATCTTGTCAATTACTAACTCCTCATTTGTGTCATTATCAAGTATGTAAATGATTTTATATATGGGTATTGTCCGAAAGGGAATGATATATCCTAACAAAGGGAGGACCCTCGGTCGAAGTGGGGTTCCCACATGTGATGCATATCATTGTGCTGGTCATGTGGCACTAATACCAAATCCGTGTTCCTTAGCTGCTCAATGATCTTGTGGGAAAAGTTACAAGTGATGATTTCCCCAGGATAACCACGGATTGCTTAACTTAGCGGAGCCGAGAGATGCCTGTTGTGAGGGAGACTCGAGTGGATTGCTGCGCAGACTACAGAGGAAATGGTAAAATGTTCGGAATACTTAAGTTTCAAACATTCTTGCATTTTTGCAGTTTATTCAAAGGGTGCCGGCCAATTCTCTGCCTTCCCTCCAAGGATACATATCAAACAATACAACCTACAAAATGGAAGAATGTTTGGTACACAAGTATTTCAAACTTTTTAACACTTCCTTCATAATCTCCCCAAAACACCAAATAACACAAAAACAAAAACAAGGCGAAAAAGTCCATTTCGTGTAAAATCGGAGCCAAAAAGGAGTGGTTGCATGAATAATTGATATGTCTACCCCCTCGGCCATCCCTCCACAACTGCAATATCTCGGCGCCGCTAACTTAAGCGATCCGTGGTCATCCTGGGGAAACCATCGCTCGTAACTTCTTGCAGAAAATCAGTGAGCAGCCAAGGAACGCGGATTTCTTATCAGTGTCCCAAGACCAGCACAATGATATGCATCACGTGTGGGAGCCCCACTTTGACTGAGAGTCCTTCCCTTGTAAGATTGATCAAAATTAAAAAGTTCAATCAGTTATTTTTCTTGAGAGACCTACAGTTGGCTTCCAAGGGTCCCATTTTCTACCGTTCAGACTAAGTTATGATTGAGCATCAAAAACTTGTCGGGGAAAAATTTCTCTTTGATAAAGATGCGTGGCGTCAGCCACGCGTTCCGAAAATTTTTTTGGTATACTTCCCGGAATTTTGCGGACCCATAACCTCGAAAATTTCGAAAAATACAGAAGTTTCTCGAAAAAAATTCTGTAGGAATAAAGTAAGTTTTTTTAACATTTTTGAGAATTATATTTATTATTTGCGAGTGTAAACATGTTGCTTGCACTTTTTTTCAAAATAAAATTTGTTTCTGAATTTTATTTTTTCCTCTGGGAAATCTTCTCTCATGCGCCATTCTCAAAATTTTCTGATATATTCGTGAAGTAAATTTAAAAAAAATCACCCTTCCAAACTTATCGGGCTTCTCTCCATGCTTTCCCTCGATTATCAGAGTGTTATCCACAATGTTGACCTAAAGACTCGAGTACAAAAACGCGTCTGCAAAATTACGTGCTTCCAGCCACATACCGTCAATTCTTCCGGCTCGAACTGCGATACATCGACAGAGACTGCGTACTCTTTGTCATTGTCGATAACCTGCAATACGAACAGCTTGTAATAGTGTCAAAATAGTGCACAAGCTGACATCAACGCCCTCGCCGATCTTGTGTCCCGTCAACATCGATTGGTCGTGCCAGTATGGTCTGCTAAAGCCGCGATCAAAGTCGAAATCGTCGAAAAAGCGGCTGTGGAAATTTAGTGGAGAGAATGGAGACATGTGGAAGCGACGATCCATATCTGGAAAAAATTTTATGCAGAAGAAGCATTTTCAGTCTGCCTTCGCCCGCAGGCTCGCTGGCCTTCAAAATGAGCATAATTTCTGAAAGACACAGCATAATTTCTCAACTAAACATGGATTTTCTTCCTCTTATAAGAATCGATTAGCTCTCAACTCTAACCAAATAAAGAGCCAAACAATCTAATAAAAAAAGTAACCTTTGATTTAACTGGATTGGCGGCTGAAAGGCGAAACTTTGTGACTTAATTAGGGCCACTCGCGCCCGCGACACAGTCTGCGTCTCTCTCTCTCGCGCGCTCTCTGATCTCCTAGCCTTAACCAGGTCACGAAGCCACGCCTTTCAGCCGCCAATCCAGTTGAATCAACGGGTAAGTAATGGCATTTGCACAAAATTGCTAAAAATCGTCATTTTATAACGACCTTAGGGTTTCTACAGCTTTGGTCGAGCATCTTTCACTGGCTTGACCATATCACTCTTCTTCACTAAGTTTGAGTACTCGATGGCTCAACATACTCTATCCCCCCCCCCCCGTTTCATCCCCCTCTAGAGTGCTTAAGCCCCTGCTTTCAAAGCAAATCTATACTTGTCTCGCGCTTTATTCGAAATGCACGACCAATCATTCAGAAAATAGCAGAAAAGCGTTCTTAGCAAATAATGTGCATAAATCAAGGGATGTCACTACAAATGCAAATTAATGAAATGGACATTTAGTTGCAATCGATTTAGTTTTGCAGTGATTGATTGGGAATTTAAGTATATATGCAGCAATTTATGAGCATATAAAATAAATCAAGGATTTTTAAATACAGATCTTGCTGACAGAATAAATGAGTGTACTTACATTGCGTTAAGAAAACTTTTACCCAAAGGTTCAAATCAAATAATCATTTAGAAATGCTCAGCTATTGTGTTTATTCCAGTGAGAGCAAAAGATACTGGTGGTAATTTTCTGTCCAAATTTTAGTAACTAACTGACAAATTTTCGACATCAACAAAGCATGCACAAAAATTTTTGAAAAATTATGAAAAATGTTCTAAAAAATCATGGAGAACTCCCTGCAACCTTCCCTTACTTTGTCGAAACCTTTCGGCTTACACGAACAAATTCACAAAGGACAGAATTTGAGAAAAAATAGAAAGCAATAACTGGGATGTCATCGCTAACACTGCCAGCTACCTCGGACGGTTCGGTAGCTAAATACTCGAACAAACTGTGCGGGGATGATTCCGGGGGCGGTCAGGAGGGGCCCCCGTAAGCCCGAGCGCAAGCATAGACAACTCACTCTCTAGCCAGAGTACAGACTAGGGTCGTTTCAAAACCGATTCGGAGCGAAAAGTCATGCGAAAAAAATTCCGACAGAAGAGGATTAACCATTTCGATGGAGATGGTTGTCTAGTGGTAAGGAGGTTTTTGCGAAAGCCACAGGTTTTGTGTCTGGCAGTGCTGCTGATTCTTTGGTAAAAAAAAGGTACAGAAAAAAATAGAGTTTCAGTAACGAAATTGTACAGACTACCTGAAGAAGACGATGGAGTGTTTTTCCTGGATTCGTAATGTTCCCTCACTTCATACGAGCTGCTTCTTTCCAATCCGGACATGATTTAGAATATTGATAAATAGAAAATCAGGAAATAAGGAGGACTGAGGAGTTTTGATACTGCAAAAAATAACATCTCACAGTCATCACAAACTTTACTGGTCATTTATTCAGAAATGAAGTGAGTGAAGTTTTCTCACCTGGATGAGATCGACAAAATAGGGCAACGAGCCGAGCGACACCAGCAACGAGCCAGCAGGGGCAGTGAATGCCATCAATGCCTATCAATGACTCAGTCAGCCCCAGAATAACGTACCCAATCAGAGCATGAGAAATGATAGGCTTCATAAAGCACTTAATAATGAAGGCCTTACTAAGGCATGTTATCATCTTTTTTACTGTTTTTGTAATCTCCTGTGGGGCCTTCTCTTAAGGGAGCACCCGAAATTTTGGGCGCAGTAATGTCAACGACTAATTTGTGTCAATAAAAGGCTTATTATCACAGATGTCATGTGACAGCTCTGTGGAAAAGACTGTTCAGTGATTTTTAATTTCTAGTTCATATTCCTCATACTTAGAATTTTTTATATTCCATTTGCTACTGATGAAGGAAAATGCCCAAAGGAAACGTTAGTGATCTCTGAACGATTATTTACTTTTTTTCCATATTGAATTATTATCAAGATTTAGAGCCGAAGCCTCCGATTTTTGTTAGGTGCCATCTTCACGTCGATAGATTCTTGATTAGTCGCATAAATATAATTTGTTGACCTTACCTATTGATTCCCCATCCAAACTTTTTCAAGCCATGATAAACAAAGGGATTTATTGGTGCAGGTCTCTGAGCATCCTATGATTGCAATAGTTCCTCCTTGACATTTTTAATTATTGAAATATTTCTCGGATTTTTTTTACCGGTCAGAGGGTAACATTTTTCAAACCATTATCTAGATAATTTGCAACAAGTCGCAGATAAACTGATAAAAACTCTTGCGTCAAGACTCGTAAGAATTCAAGCAAAGATAAGGATGATAGTTGCTCGAACGCTGCGAAATTGGCCATAAAATAATTTTCCTAGTTTTGTAGTCATTCAAAGCTGTCCATTCAGTGTAAAAAATTAGCAAGTTCCGCATTGCACTTTAGGCCCTCGCTGTTTGTGCCTAAAGTAAACCAAGGGAGACGCTTCTGTTGTACTCTTCTTCTATTTACCTACTTAACTGTGCAAAGCATTTGCAAGGATGGCTTTGGTCGACTTGAGGAGCATAGAGGGGTCAACATGGCTGAGAGATCTAGGAGAAAATTATTTTCAGGAACTTCTTTTCTTGAAACCGTCATTTTCTCTTTCTTCACCACGTAAACTTCCAAAACGCTGTTTTGACTGTAACCTGGGCAAACAAACATACGCAACCTCATGAAACTATGCAAATCTGTCCGTAAGCACCTTACATGGTTCGGGCGTACGCTCTTCCCCGGCACCAGCCGTCACACTTGCAAAGTCGTAAACCCTTTTGGCACCTGATAAAAACCTCGGTGTCAGCAAATTCCGATGCGTAAAGCGAGAGGTGTTACAAATCTGTACGAAAAAGAAATTTCTCCACATTTTTCCGAGCATCGAACCAGTTGGAGCAGAGAACCACACAACGCGTTTGTTTACCCTAAAGATTTTCTACTTCTTGTGAACGCTGCTTGGGAAGCTGTTGAGCCCAAAAAGTGACAAAAAATGACAGCTGAGTGTTCGGGTCGATGGAAGTGAGGATTTTCTAATGTAAACTGTTGCTGCGCTGGTATTAGACTCTTGTATAAGATATTTAGTGAAGCTTAGCAGTGTCACATTTAGAAGACATTCGAATATCAAAACAAACAGGTATTCGATAGAAGAGATACAACATTCGTTGAAAAAATAGATAAATCTATAAGACTGTCCCTAGGTGCCTTTTTACCTAAACAAAATCAATACAGCAAACCAAGCATTGGTCACCTTAGACATTCAAAAATCTTAATTCACAAAGACCGAAAAACTAGAGGAAAAATTAATTCACAATGTTCGAAAAAACAGAAAACTCAACTTCTTTGAATCTTTAAAATTATAATACGATATTTTGCTACACCCATTCAAACTAGATACATAAGGCATTCAGTTGCACAATTTCATGTATTTCCAAAGAAATACTATAAAGATAGATGAGAAATGGCAGACTTCGCCCATAGCGATTCCCTGCTCCTCCCATTAAAGTAGTAAATAGTGGACAACATATAGAATCAAAACATGTACAGTCATAAATTACCTTAGCAGAGGAATTGTTCATCATGAGCTTACAAAAACGAAATTTCAGATGTGCACTGTTTTTTTATGGCTGTTTCAAAACTTTCCGTACTTAACGGCCCTAACTATAGAGCTGTGAACCTAGAAAATCAGTTAACTTCAGTGAGGAGAAACTTATCCAGGTTATACGAAGCTTCCCTGTCCTCTGCAAAAAATTTTGGAATCGGTCAATCTGTTTCCTGGCGACTCATCAAGCCGAGAAACAAAAAAAAAACCAATCTTTCAAAATTACATTATTTTTCTTTTTATAACTGAAAAATCAAATAGAAATGTTTTCCGTAAAGTTGGAATTTTTGAATGCAAAGGGGTGGCAAAAGTAACTACATAATTTTTAATCGTTAAACTTTCTTCCATTAGATCTTTCGCTCAAGTCAAGTAACATTCCGTAAAGCCTGCTTCAGCTTTGACAGTATGAAGCGAATCACCCTTTATCAGTAGGATTACGGTAGGATTTTCCAGCATATGGCGGCATATGGAATAACCGTTGGTTTTGTATAAATCTCAAAAGGTTAGAAGTGTTAGACATGCTAATTTCATCAGACAACTTTCCACGAGTTTTCAAGGGATTTGATTGATTTAATCACATTTGAAAAACACTGTTGCACTGCAATTGGCACAACTTAAGAAAAACTTTTGCTTAAATGTGCAGTTTCCATATTTATAGTCAGTGATTCAGTTTAGCCTAATGATTAAATTTTCAATTTTTCATGTATCCATTCTGGGACAAATAGTCACTGGTGTCTCAAAACCCGCTTTGAAGTTTCTACCGCAATTTTGCGGTAGTGAAGTGGATATGTGGTTCCATACTGTGAACCTTATTTGAAGCTTACTTTATCAAGTGGAAGTTGAAGCTAAGCAAAAAACTTTGTAGAAAGACAATTATAGACAATCAAAAATTGTGTGCTTACTTTTGAGACACCTTGCATTCCAGTATCATAATCTGAAGGATAGAATAAGTACATTCAAAGTCTACTTGATAATATAAGATATGGCATCCACGTCCTACCGTATGGCATCGCGACGTAATCCTCGATTCGGTTCTTTTGCAAGAGGGGCAGTATTGCCCTTAGGTAAGGCTCTCAAGCTCTCACGGCGTTTAAGATTCACAATAAAGCTGTGAAACATATCCACATGGAAAAGTTGTTCTCCCCGTCCCAAATCAATTCTAATCAACATTCGCTATTTTTGCTTGTTTTCACAAAGAAACACTCGGATAGAACATAGATTTAGAAAAAAAGTTGGGAGCTCGCAATGAAGAGAAATGAGGACATCAGAAAGCTACCAATTTATCAAAATGAAGCATGTGCGGCAGTGTCTCTGCAGAGACAAAGATGTCTCCTCCGTCCTTTGAGGAGAGTCCCGTGCTTCGTATTGATATGTGTGGAAGAAAGGATTATTCCACTCGACTGAGTTTACTGCATTCGTAAACGCTGTGTTCCTCTCCGAAATTGGAGTGCTCATGGATGCGCCCCTCTTCATATTGTTATTCTTGATTTTTCTTCACAGCTCATTCGCTCAATTTCCAGGACAGGAGAGCAATGTTACGAGCAGACGTGGGTTCCAAAATTTCATTGATTTTTGATTCTTCAATTGACTTCACTTTTTTTACTCCTAACAATGCCCTGAGCAACAGTTACCTTTAAGAAGACGGAAGAATCTGGGATGTCATTATAGCCACTTGCGATGAACCCGGCTCTGGTACGGATGCAGCAGTCTATTTGAAGGTAATTTTTTATTGCTTATTATTTTTCAAACCTGCTATATACCTTAACGTATACAAAAGAATTTTTCTATCAAGAAGCCATATTATATGAGGATTGCATCAATTACTAATTTTGGCCACCAAAAAGATTCTTTTGATGTAACACCTGACCACCCATACGTGGACACCCAAGAAGAAGCTGATACGATTTGCGGGGTAAAATGGTACACTTCAAAACATTATTTCAGAGTCTGCTCCTACCATCTCAAAAAAAGTCGAGAAATTTACATGGATCATTCAAAAAATAAAGTCAAAAAAGCATGATCGTGGAAGAAATGTGCAAAATCGATCAACAGCGACAAAGTTCCTAAATTTTTCCTAAATTTTCCTAAATTCCTAAATTTTAATGAATTCATATAAAGCCATTTTTTACTATCAATACTTACGGCCCTGATCAATCATTTTTCAAAAAAAGAAATCTCATAACTTCCCGATGTTTCGCAAATGTGGAACACACATTCTTCACGGGGTCAGGCGCATTTGCACCGAGGCAGACATAACGAAATTTCATTGCTATCCAAAGCTATTTTGCTATTATCTATGTTAGAGGCATTGTTTTTCCCAAACAAATGAGGCCCTGAAAAAACTGAAAAACAAAAAATCGAAAAATATGAGTAGTTTTACTCATTATTTTTTCCAGGTGTACTATGAATCCGCGCATGAGTACGAAACCTTCAATCTAGACAATCCAGGAAAGTGAGTCACTTAGATTGAGAGATATTTACATTTTCATACTTTTTTTGATATAATTTCAAAATAGTGGTGTAGCTGCAATTCGTGTTTTTCTCTGATGCAGCCGTAGTCCTTGCTTGTATCTAACATCTCTTTGAAAGCAATTTTCAGATAAGTAGTTACCATTGTCATATACAGTTACCGAGTCATTTAACACCGCCATGACTGCTAGAAATCGCTAAATCTTGCCGCTTCTACATTCGCAGTACCCTGCCAACCTTTACTGTACGTAGCAGCCCATAGAGCAAACTCGAAAATCAATATATCGATTATTCGAGATTTTTCCTTGTGATCCATTTCCGCAAAACCCCACTGCTGTTTTTCTTCATTGACTTTTGTCAACAAAGAAAACACAAACAAAGAAACGAAGAATGCTTATTTAACGACAGTTCTCAGTGAAAGATAACCCAGTAAAGAAGACGACTTCTTTAAGAAAGACTTGAAGACGAACATTTTAGAGACGATTTCGAAAGAGGATCGAGGGATCATTTCAAACTCTACTTCAAGCAGAGCGATATCATAAACGTTGGGCTTTTTTGGTGGCCTGGTTTCACATTTAGCCAATCATGGTGTGCAAAATGGGTGAGATTACTGTAAATTGTAGATCATTTACGACATGTGAGATCACTAACCTCTCTTTCTCCACTCTGTGTCTGTAAAAGTGCTGATAAGTTCCGCTTTCCTTTAATTCCGTCATATATTTAAAATACTAGGTTTTGCTTCTGAACTCCGACACAGAAACGTGCTTCGAGGCAATCTTCAACAAATGGATTCTGCATTATAAGTAAGCGTACGCTCTAATAATTCTTGTTCTTTACGGATCCTACCTTTTTGCTGCTTTTATTTATTCCAAGTCTCTTTTCCTTTCCTTGACAAATTTTGAACTTTCCTCGAATCTTTTAAAAATAGGTGAGATTCGACCGATGTTTCGATTAAGGCATTTTGGCATTCATTTTGGCAACAGCACAAACCTATTGAACCGGATAAGTCTCGCACCCACCTTTCCACACAAACAAGCATTCCCGTACTCGGGCCCCACAAGCGATGAGATCTGCAGTACTCGCAAAAGCTTAACAATTTTCTGGACTCATTCTGTATATTCATCGACATACATTGAGGTGAGATATACCTTAAGAGCGCATACCGCATTCAGAAAGTATCTTATATCTTGGGGGCAAATCTATATCCTCAGATAATCGCCAAGAGAAGGCGGTCCGCAAACTCGTTCTTTTCTGCAAGCGGTCGGCAAAATTTTGGAGCGTGGGAAGCCTCCAGCGAGCGGTACTTCGGTGTTCTGCCAGCGGGCAGCAATACAAAATTTTCTGCAAGCGCTCGTCAAATAATCTCTTTCAGTAAGCGCAAACCAAACTTTCAGCAAGCACTCGGACTATTTTTACGCACTTTCGGGCGTATGCCGAGCAAAGGTGACACTTTACATAACAGAGGAGTCATCAGTGGTTCAATTACCCGAGTTTGGGCTACTTTCTCATATAGGAAAGTACCCACGGGCTGCGCGGTCATTCACAAAGGACCGTGCGGCCCTCAACAACTTTGCACATTCTCGGAAAGTCCGCGAGAATGCGGCCACCTCAGATAATCGTCGGGGGCAGACAGGTATGCGATTTATGTGCGGGCGGGCACTGGAAAAATAGTTCGCTGATTTCTTGGGTCCGCTTGCAGATATAAGAATTTTGACGAAATTTTAGACGAGTGCTTGGAGAACAATCGCAGTTTCCTTATAGATTAGCTGCGGCGCAGTGGCCGCATTCTCGCGGAAAGTTCGCAGTAGTATAAGTTGCAAAATTTTCGAGGGTCGCACGGTTGTGGAGGACCGCGCAGTCCCCAGGTACTTTCCGCTGAAAGAAAGTACCTCAAACTTGAATAATTAAACCATCGATGACACCTTTGCCATGTAGAGTCTCACCTCTGCTCGACGTACGCCTAAAACTGCTCAAAAACCGTCCGAGCGCCTGCTGAAAGTTCGGCCAGCGCTCGCTGAAAGAGGTTATTTGACGAGCACATGCAGAAAATTCTGTATTGCTGCCCGCTGGCAGAACATTAGACAGTAAAGGAAGTACCGCTCGCTGAAGGTTTGGCCACGCCCCAAAATTCTGCTGACCGCTTGCAGAAAAGCGCGAGCTTGCGGACCGCCTGCCCCCGGCGACTACCTGAGACTGCGCCGGAACTAATCTATGAAAAAACCGAAATTGTTCTCTGAGCATTCGTTTGAAATTTAGCCAAAGTTCTATCAAATATCTGCAAGTGGACCGAAGAAACAGCGAACTGTTTTTCTGTGCCGGCCTGCTCATAAATCGCATGGCCGCCTGCCTCTGGCGATTATCCGATTTGTAGAAAGGTTCATTCGTGGTAAAAGTCTACTTTATCGGGGGCTGATTATTCGTCAAGTTATGTTTTACCTTTGAGATGAAACATGACTTCCGCGTTGTGAATGCGGGCGTGCGCTCTCAGTGTATATTTTACTTTGAAGGTACATTAGTGGTTATGGCCACTTATTGTAGCCTTTTGATTATAGAGTCTACTAGCTGGCAATCCGGTTCCGCCCGGCCCTGTCAATAATATATTCGTAATCAGCATGCTCGATTACCCCCTGTGCCAACTCCCAGCCCCGTAGCTCAAACTTTTTGTAAAAGCAATAAAATCGATACCGATCGATGACGAAAAGTAGCTTATGACACCCTCCCGGCACCGAAGTGTATGTGTGTGCAAAGTTTGGTCCGGATCGGTTCAGAAATGGAGTTTTCTATTCGGAACATACTTACAGACATACAGACAGACAGACAAGCAGACATTCAGCTTTATATATAAGATTTTCACCTGAAACAACTTTGATCTGCGAAAGTGTCATAAGAAATTTCCAATGCATAAAGAAACTAAGAAATACGAGTTTTTGGATGATCTAAGAGTTATTCATGGAATTTTGTTTCTCCTCAAAATCATAGCTCAAAGAAGTAGCATTGTTGGATGGCGAGGATCACCGCTACCAATCTTTACCAACGGGGAAAGAAAGGCAAAATTGACCTTTCATCAGGGTTCATTATGGGTGGACGAAGGGGAGTAATTAGAGCATGAAGAAAAGCTTTCGGGAGTTCAAAGAAGCCGTCGAAGAAAGGCAGACCTCCTTCCTTAGATAAAGTAAAGAAGCTGGAGCATTTTGCTGAGAGGGCCAAACCGAGTCAGAACTAATTTGTTGTGTAGCCAAACCATCGTTAGACAGTTACGAGTTTTTGTTGTTAGTTTTGCGGCATTTGGAAAAACTAACTTGTACTCAGATCCATGTTTCTCATTGATCAAGTCATACCGGGGCATACCATCACCCCCGTTACAAAATACTTGTAGGACTTTCAAAACAATTCAGTGCGCCACTTTCTAACTTATATAAAGCTTACCTGTAGTTTGACGATGACTTCATGTTACATGTACATCTACCATATTACATATACATCTATCTCTAACGAAGTCTGTAGACGAAGCACGCAAATATGAGGCACAAAATGGACAATAAAGCATTTCTTTTCTTTCTTCTGCGATTGAAGTGGATGATTTCAAAAATAAAAAAAAATCATGCTTGCAGGGATCCACCTACTTATGCAACACGGTTCCATAAGCTACGATTCGCCGACTGCGTTGGACCAGGAGATACGAAAGCTCAGAGAAGAAGCTACATGCGTTATGAAGACACTGTAGGAGCTTACTGAAACTAAAAGAAGGTTACTGCAGCGGACGTTGATTCTAATACATATTTCATACCAGAAATTTGTTACGCATGCACTAGCTGAATGCCCAGCTTCGCCTGTCCTGCGGGCTTAAATGGGTCAACAAAGAACTTGTTGCTTAATTTTCAAAGCTCAACTTATCTGCTTGGCTTCCTTCTCTTTTCCGTGAAACACAAAATAAACTTGATGACAGCATTACCGTATATTACCGTATTTCCAGCATTTTGCAACGAAAATGAGTTCTACGCTAATCATTAACACAAAAGTCAGAAGCGGTTTGAAGTACCTACTTGATGAAAGCTCATTTTTTCTTCAAAATCGATAAATCAATAAAAGGAGTGAGATTCTCTCCGCAAAAATTAGCTAGATGGACCGGTGTCGAAAATGTGTGCAAAGTTTGACGCTGATCCACACACAAAAGTTATTTTTAAAAACAAACTAACTAACAATTTACCAACAGTCAGCTTTACATATGTATAATTTTCTCGGTTACTTGGAGTCTGACACTCTCGTCTTTGTCTTTCACAGTTTGCGGTTTAACATTCACGACAATACGATCCACCGGTGAGTCGTACGTGTTCTGCCGTTTCGCACAATACGACCCACCGGTGGGTCGTAAGATTCCTGAAGCTCTAGCTTGGCCAGTATCGATGGAATTCTTCGGGGTTCTGGCACATTATTGACACCCTGGCGAAGCTCCAGCCAGAGTGGTCCGGGTTCGCAATACTGTAATGCAATGTCACGGTAGGTTTACCGTAGAAGAGGTAGGGCACAGACTTTAGCTCAAATTTTTCGCAGAGCAGTGCTTTTTTGAAAATTCAAATTTACATGCACGGAATACAGGAGGGGCACGAAACTGATACCAGCCCATTAAAAATTATCGATTTTGTTGATTTTATTGATTTTTCGCATTGTTCATCCCAGGAAGCCCAAACCGGGTGGGGGAACGAACACCTCAATTAGGCACCGCCTCCGCGGACCACTGGTCCCAACACGATGCACAACAGTAGGACGAAAGGACCAGCAGCCCGCGAAGGCGATGCCTAATTGAGGCGTTCGTTCCTCTACCCGCCCAAACCTTATAGGCTGGCGCATGACGAAGGCGCTATATCTTCAGGCGCGAACGCGGCTTTATTAGCCGCAGAGCGCATGAGGTAAGGGATCTACAACGGTGAGGATAGGCGCATCGCATTCGCGCCCGCTCAACTAATGTCGCCATTCCGCCCCTTCGTCATGCACCAGCCTTTACACATATAGGTTTTTTTTAGCATGCTGATACGAAAATGATAGTCTCAGGTTCTATTACCGCCTTCTTACATCAGTTTGTTGATTCTTACGAAGATTCTAACGTACTGCTACCGAGTCACACTGTGGGAAAGTAGTGGACAAAATGGACACTATAATCGTGATCAGCACGTGAAATACCCCAAAACACAGTTTTCATGGAAAACCATGATGTGGGATTCGTACAGAATGACTACCGTAACCTTACCGTATACTGCCAAAAACTTAAATAAATCACATTTTGGTAATCAGCGCCTTCAATAACCCTTGTGGGGAAATTCTCGAAGACATGTTTTGAATTTCTTCCAAAAAGGCTACCATTTCGGACAATACGACCCACGGGGGGTCGTAAGTTTGACAAAGTAAAAAAGGCTCTGGTCCAAACGGCAGTAATCAAAAAGTCTCGTGAATGTGTCATGGAGGTGTTCTTCTTTGATCTTTAGTTCTTTCATATCCGCCTTGATCTTATGCGACCATCACAGCTCGATCTTCCCTTTCGTCTTTCCTGATATATCTAATGAAGTGGCCATTTTGATAATGTGGCCTTCTTCTTCGCGGCTGCACCATCAAAGTCTTCTTTTCCGTATCTTCTTAGCTGCCGCGGCGACCTTCATGGTGGCTCGCATGGTATCCTTGGTGACGTAGTCCATTATGGTGACGCCTGCACCATCTTAGGGTACGTGTCTCCATTGTTACGCGCATCTATTCCCTCTTTTCGCATGTGACTGTATTTAGTTGCTTGCTGGTGCAATAGCCTCAAATCGTTATCTGCAGAGCTCAAAGTGAGCAACAGATTCCGACCTTTTTCAAATAACAAAACTGAGTGAATGTCAGAGGCCCTTCAGTCGAGGTGGTGAAGTCTCACGCAGTACACTAGCATGGCCACTATTTAGAGTTGCTCCAAATCCCGCTGTTCTTTGGAGGGAAATTCCAGAAGGGGAATGCTGCTGGGTTTTATGCCCATCCACGGGGGCTTAGAAGTTATGAGACCGAAAAACTAGCCCGGTAGTACTTACCAGTGTTGAAGATCCGTCTTTTATTGTAAACAGATTTTCGACACTTCCAGGCCTCATTACTGTAGACCACCCACGTTGATAGGCGATGCGAACCCAGTAGCCGCTTGGCAGTTCTCTCACTTCGAAATCAAACTTTTTCCTTAGAGACTTGGCAGTCACTTACTCGGAGGCCTCGCTATAAAATGCATGGAATTTCACCGGTTTCTGATTTGAGTGGACTGGACCTAAACGCCGAATTCTTTCACACACATACTTGGCTTAGAAGGTTGGGCATACATTAAACTATTTCGTCGCCTCGTCGTTTTCCGACAGGACAACTGTTATAAATCATTGCATGTCGATCTCTTGCATTTGGTTCAGAAAGTTAGTCGCGATTAGTTGTGCCGGAAAACTTAAATCAAAATGCAATGGACACGTAAGGTTCTCGCCATACCCGACGCGATTTCAGTAGCGACGCGATTTGACAATTACCAAGTGTCCATAACTCATCGTGCGCGCATTCTGAATATGCAGAGGGTAGGGCATTTTATCAATCTACAAAAGTTGTACAGACTATGCCTCTGCGGTGTGCTAGTGTTGGATTTGAAAACATCTGGCACATTGCCCTGAAATCGCGTTAGGTGATAGTGGTTTGTGGAATTTCACAATTTCACATATAAAATCCCAGTAACAATCGTTCATTTCGCTCACAAATTATTAGCTTTGGTGCCGTTGTCCACGAAACTTCATGAAATCAGTTATATCTTTTAGGACATTCATTCATAAAACCATCGCTTTCTCATTGATGATTCTCCAAGCACAAGCAATACCGCCCGTATTTTTCTGGAAAAAAGCGCACTGTCCCTTATTTCACGTGATCTCACCTTAGCGTGGCCATATATCGCTTCAGAGTATACGATTCCTGATCCGAAGGCACCATTTGACTTACTCGACGTGGCGCATCTTCTGATATATAAAAGTGCCTGTTTGGATATAGTAAGAGGCCATTCACGTGTCGCTTCAGATTTTTGCTTGCAATAGGTCACTTGCTTATTCATTGCGCTCAAATGGAATTAGAAGATAGTTGCCAATCATTTGAGGCAGTGTCTGGGCAAAAACTCGATTTCTAGACAATCCACTTACCGAAGGTTATCCCAACGTTGAATCCAAAAATCCACATTAGAAGGCACGAAAAGAAAACGTGCGTTTTCTAAAGCCTTACAATTTGAAATTCGACGGTTCCAGCCAAGGCTGAGACGCAGAGTCTCTGCGGAGCCCTACGACTTTGACCGTGGCGGCATGCGTACTCTGGGCGGCGTGTCAGGATCCTCCAAAGGCCTGCCGCCTCTTCTCCAGGCGCACCCGCGGAGGTCATTATCACTTCGCGCCTACCTCGCGCCTACGTCGCACCTATCTCGCACATTCCCGCATTTGTTCCCCTCCGGGCAATCTTCCTGTCTCCACTGGCATAATCAGAAAGTAATTACATAAGCGACGAGTAAATGATTCCCAAAAAAAATAATGAAAATGCTATGGAAGAAAGTGCTTCCGATCATGTTCATTGAAGATGTGGTAGGTGAGAGTAGAATGAAAGCTGATAATGTTTTCTCAGGGCGACGGGTTACAGATAATTTTGAAAAGTACAGCTCTGAAAAACAGTTTGGAGTTATCTTTTTTCGCATGTTATATAGCTGGTCATTTGCACTACAATCAATCTTATGAGCACTGAATCTTCCAAATGGGTATGTAATTCAAGAAAATTAGATTTAGAGCAAAATTCGCCTCTATTATACTTGTTCGGTCTCCTTATTGCTATGTTTGTTCTCTTTTTGTCGCATCTTCTTTGAGAGAAAATGATTATAGATTTTTTCATCATATTTTTCATGCTTTTCCAGAGGAGTCTTGTTAATCGACAAAGCATTTAGTTAGCGTTTAACGCCTCTAATCTCACCTACTACTTTTATGCCCACGGTCACAAACACTTTCTTATCTGTCTGGTTATTCTGATGTTTGTTTTCACAACACTTTCATATTTTTTAGAATTCCTTTACTCCTCGCTTATATGCTAACCTCTCTAATTAACGCCAGGAGAAATAAGGCAAGAGTCCAGAAGGGAACTAAAGCACGAATGTTCGAGATAGGTGTGACATAGGTGCGAGGCAGACGCGAAATGAAAATTACATCCCACGGGTGCGCCTGGAGAAGCAGCGGCGAGCCTTTGGAGGATCCTGGCCGCCCTCCCGTACTCTGCCGCATAGCAGGAATTCGCACAGGTCGGAGGATCCCGCCCATAAATGCGATAGGTGGAAAAATTTCTCTGCCCCTTCACTTTAGGGCCGTCTGGCTGACCCCTTCCCCCTGAGGTTGAGACTAGAATCAAGGCATGATGGCAGAATCAAACAGCTGTTACAACGGCATTTTTTGTCTGGAAAGGAAACGCCAGCTGCTCTTTTCCTCACATCAAAACTGCAAATGAGCATCCAAGCAACAGCGTTTTGTTGAAAAACGCACGCTTATGACCTCTTGCGCAGTCAGAGTGGCGTTGATAACGAAACGTAATCAGAAATTAAAGGATGTCTCTCTTCAAATGGTTAACATTGCATTAATGAATACACATTGTCGCAAGAAAGATTTGAGTAAGAGTAGAAAATCTGGACTGGCTAATAGTGGGAAAGAATATCTTTGCATACAATAATGCATGTTCAGTCGTTATTCTCGCAATGCTAACTCCAATTAAAGGGAGAGAAAGAAATAGATAGATGCTAAGCTAGTCGTCTATTGCTAAGTCTCAGGCGACGCGCTCTTAAATTTAGGAAAGATCATAAAAGGAGCACTCTCCGTTAGCTGCTTTGCTGCCATCAGAAAAAAAAGAAGAGCTCAGCTTGTATATGGC